TTTTCAAGAAATCAGTGGTGAACGGGTGAGAGTTTTTTTTTTCTATTTTTATTATCTATTACTCTTGAAATAATAACATATTATGAATTGAATAGTTACAAAATTCAAGCTAGTCGAATATATCTTATCATTGTGATAACAATATTTACATCTTTAAATATATATACTTTATATTCAAATGTACGAAGTTCATATAACGAATTTCAAGAATGGTGCATCGAAATTGAAAGGAATCCGAAATATCATATTTATTGATTGAAGGTGAGTACACATCGATGATGCTATTTTGATAAGGTACACCTGTTAGGTCCCTTCCACCCCCATGTGACCGTTAGGATGGGGGTTAAAAATATCTTTAATAATGGCAAGGTGCTGACACTCGTGATCTTTATTTTTAGGGAATTTGAAAATCGATTATTATGTTAAAGAAATATAATTGTTAATTTTCATGAATTGAGAAATAATATCAAGTGGATGTTATCCTTTTAATGATAAGCATGAATAGGATAAATTAGGGATTAGGGATAAATATTTATATAATCTAACAGAGTATTAATTGGTATTTTTCTTTTCTTTTTAATAGTATCCATTGGGTCAATTATTTGTTAATAAGTTTTTTAGCACATAGATCAATAGTATAACTTGTTAAGTTTTTATTACGTAGATCGATTATATAGTTTGTCAAGTTTTCGTAATATATTGTATACAAATAAATAGAATGATAGATTAATAAAGTTAAACCTATTCAAATTTTTTTAACAATATAATATATCTCTTGTGTTTAAGATAAATTGATCTTTGTTGGATCAATTTAGGATATGATCGAAATTTATGATAAACTTTTTCCAAGGATTCAGGATGACACTGATATTAATTCGAAGAATAATACTATTATATGGTATGGTGTGGATATCTCACTTTCGAAAGCATTAATCATGTAATTGATTTTTGAAAATTAGAAGATATGAGAATGTTAGAATATATTATAACAAGCGTATTAAAGATTTTTGATTGGTGTTTATAAATTTGGGGATCGCAATTTGATGGATTATATAAATGCATATGGATCCACCTTTATGATATTCAACATTCTATTTCAATATACAATTCAAAAAGTATAAAATGCCTTCAATGTTTATATCTTTCAAATTTGTAGCTCGAATTGCGAGAAAATTCAAAAATCTAAATTTCCAAACATTAAGAAAAATGATTCCACATATTGCAGATCCATCTACCCCTAGGTTTTCATATCTTTTTTTATTTCAATCTCAACATCGAGTTGAGATTGCAGAAATTTTGGAAGAATTCCTATGAGTATTTGATGTTATATTTTTTACAGTTCAGAATTATAAAGACGATCCCACTCTTTTTATTAATGAAAAGATCAAGCCAGATATTTTAGATCTCACATAAAAAATTATGATTGAGATTGGTAAGCCAGAAAAACTCAAATGGGAACATGAAAGTTGGGATGGAGATGAAACGGAAGAAGAATTTAAAGAAAGATTGCACTTATATGAGGAAAAGAAAGTTAAATAGTTAATTATTAATTTATTTTTATATTTCTGTGGCCATAATGATTATATCTATGAATATAGATTTTTATAGTGTGTTATATAATTATCCTGATTATAAATTTATGTAATTAGGACTCCTAATGATACTACTTTGATACTAGTTCGATACTTAAATTTACTATAAAAACATATGAGTAGGTCACAACCTATATATTAAATTTACTATAGAT